AAGTTCTAACTGTCCTTTTGAGTCACATTTTTCTGTGTGCTTTGTGTATGTATGGGAATAGAAATTGGTCTTTTTTCCTGTTAATCTGTTCTTGGCCAATTTAATTCGTACATCCCACTCACTGAACCTAAGAGGGTAGAGGAGAAGGTTTTCTTCCCCGTCACCTATCAACTGTACTTAGTCACTGAAATGATTTGACATATCTCTTTCTAATCCCTCTTTAGGGTCATTCCCATTACCATACAAACGTAATGTTACTTTTCTCATAAAAATGTATTTGGAACTCATTGACTACTATCCTCCACTTTTTAAAAACTCTTATTTGTAACAGCAGTCTGCAATTTCTGACTTCAGTTTCTCTCCTGCCCTTGTCTCCTACGCCCCTCCAAACAAACCCCCACACCTCTCCACCGGAACAATTTGGTTCACTGCTCATTTCCAATGTCTATAACAGTGCCTGAGCATGTAATAAATGCACAGTTAGTATTTATTTAATAAAATGCATTTCTGAATACTTCTTTTATTTTTCCTATTTGTTAAAGCCACACCTTATATAGACATTCGAATGACGTTCAAATGGATTCCAAGGCTCTGGGAGGTGTCACCACTTTTGTTCTGAGGCCAAGCCAATCACAGAGACAATGGTGGATTGTACAGTTTGCCAGAAAACAGTAAGTGCACATTCGAAGGAAGCAGGCTGGCATCACCGCATGATGCTTGTGAAACAGCTCCACCCGAGGGGAGGCTGCCATTCCGCGTCCCTACTGATTTGCCTCTACAAACCCTGTTGGACATACCTTCTGAGCTGCTTCTCCAAGTAGTGCTTGAGTCTTCACTCTCCTCCACCAGCTGGGGGGAGCCGTGCTGTTTTCACTCCATGACCGCGTACAGCATAAAACATCCAAACTAAGACAAGATCAAAGTTTTGAATGTGTATTAAATGATGGGTATCATAAAAGTAGAAGTGAGCATCAGTGGTGGGTTAAATCTTGCTAGGTGGAAGCATCCACAAACTTCCCTCTCTCATTCAAATCGCCCAAGAAAATGTGAATTTCATAAAGGCAGGGATTGTGTCTGTTTGGCTCACCACTGTATCGATACACACTAAACACACACCATATTAATATTCCAGGACCTAGCCTTCATTGTGGAATCAGTAGATGAGAATCTGGTAATTGCCAGCACTCTCCCTTTGCTCAGCTATCCTGATGCTCGCTTGCACCCTGATTTATCCTGTTTAAACCAGTTCCTAGACTTTTTGTCACGCAAGGTCATAGGAAGAGTATGGAAGGACTTTTTCTAAAGGGAGAGGTAGGGAGCGGTCTTGTCAAAATTGGTAAGACAGCAAGGAATACAAAAAATAATATTAATGGGAGGAGAGGGAGTCAAAGCTGATCTAGCTGTGGGTAGAGGAGAACACATTTTCTGGAGGGTGAGGAGGTTTCAGAGGTGCTCCTGAGAACGTGGGAGGTCAGAGTGTATGTTAGGTAGGGGGTGGGGAAGAAAGAAGAAAGGAAGGAGGATTGAAGAGTCTCGTCTCAGGTTATGACTTGCATTTTGTTTGATGCTTGTTGAAGGACATGAGAAACAAATGACATTCTTATCTCTTTACCTTACCTCCTTCTGACTAGCTGTGCTGCTTTAAATGAGACCCCACTCCACGTCTGAACCTCTCTCCTTTGAGTTGAGCTCCTAGAGGGCGGGAAGCTGGTCTTCTTCATTTTGTATTTCTGGGGCTAGCGGAGTGCCTGCTGTGGAGTTGGAGCTCAATGAGTGTTTTTGGAATGGAACAAAACTTGAGTCTCATGCCTACAGGACAGAATGGGCTTATCCTCCCTGCCTACCCCCTGCCCCCAAGTGAAAGGCAGCTGAACGCCCCATGGGAGGGCCAACTGGTTCTTCAACTAGACTTCTAGCTTGTCCATAAATACTGCATTTAGCTATTTGGCTTTAAAAAGTCACAGTTTTGTTGAGGTATGATTGATTTACAATAAACTGTAGATATTTGAAGTCTAAAATGCAGTGAGTTTAAACATGTGAATATCTATGAAACCAACAAATAATGAACATAGACATTACCTCAAAAGTTTCCTCTTGGTGTTGATGTTTTACTGTGTTTCAAGGTTTTATTGTCTAGAGAGAAAGAGAGAAGGCAGGGGATGGATGAAACAGGATTCATCAGGAACTGGTAACTCTTCTCCCCAGCCAGGTTTGGGAGAGCACCATGAGATAACTCTTAAGTACCTGCTCCCATTGGAGGGAATGGAAAGCAATGGGAGTTGCTTGGGTTCTTGTGCAACTTGCATTTTCAAAGAACCCAGGCATTAGGACCTTCACCAAAAAGCAATTGGAAAGTGAGGGTTGTGGGTGATGTTAGAGGTTTGAAATGTGGACTTGCAGGTAAAGTTTGTATACTCCTATCTTCCGTGAGCTCTTGCTTCCTAACTCATAGTCTGTTTTGGAGGAAGAATGGGCTTAGAAGAGGGGAGCCCTCAACTCAGTTTTTCTCAAATGCAGACTTGGTAAAGGAAAGGAGGACCAAACGTACCTTGCATTTGTATAAGATTTTAGAATTTACTAAACACTCTTATACATCATCTGGTTAAATTCTTAAGAAATCCCTAGGGTAGTTAAGAATCTCTCCATTTTTAGATGGAGAAATACAGGCTTGAAGAAGTTTACTTATCCATGTTACACTGCTTTTTCTGCAGTGGTTCTTCCTGCATCCCCTCCACATTAGTGCTCCCAAGGGGGTTTCTCAGGTGGGTGGCATGGACCAACTGTGGTTCACGTTCCCATCAGTCCTTGCTAGGGGCAGTGTTACACTGCTTGATAATTCCCTGCTCCAGGGTCATCCCCACCCCACCCCTACAACTGAGCTAAGCTATAGGCAATTGACCACTCAAGCTCAGTCCAGCTATTAATCAACAAACTTCCAGTTAGTTCTCTCCACAAGGAATAACAGTAATACATGAGGCAAGCGGGCAAAGTCACAACCTGAAAGAAGAGATATATTGTCTCCACCTGGTCTACTCACTGCTGCAATCACTCACTCCATACACACATCTCAAGCAGTCTGCTGCCAAGGTCCATTGGTTCTTAGCTCATCTTCCCTATGACTTTGATTGGGGATTCTACCATCAACAGTCCCACCCTCCAGCTCCTCCATATTCTTCCTCCACTGTTGCATCAAGGCTTCTGGGAAGTGGAAAAAAACTGGTTTTCATGAAATGTGTGAGAACCTCTGTTTAGATAAAGATGGCTGTGAGGAAAGAACTCTGTGTTTCACTGTACTGTGCTCTCTTTGATTTATGATTATTAGGCTATTAACAAGCATGGGTTGAGATGCATACAGTGTTTGAAGGAGAATTTGATCTACTTTCCCAATATGCTCTGCTTTCCATTCCTTTCCTTGCCTTTTTTTTTTTACCTCCTTGGCGTAGAGGAGGCCACCACAAGTGGTGAAATTTCTGACCAGATAGAATTTAAAGCAGGTGCAGTCTCTTTAAGTACCAACTACATTGGCTCAAGAGATTAGACGTGGGCCAGCAAATTGCATGCCCCATGAATGGCCAGTCAATAGCTTACACTTGTTAAAATATAAAAGCCATTCCTATCAGTTAGCATTCAATTAGACCATCTTAAAAAAATAGTAACCTGACTTGGTCTATGTGAATGCTCTAAGATAGTATTTATCTTAGAAAAGCTTTCTTTTTGTTGTTGTTGTTTAACTTCTTGAAGGGTTAAACACTGTGTTTTCTTTCTCTCTTCCTTCCTTTCTTTCAGTACTTATGGATATCGATGGCATTTTATTTTATTTTTTACCTATCCTCCATCTCCCTCCCCTTTGGCAACCATTAGCTTATTCTCTGTATCTAAGGGTTTCTTACTGGCTTGTTTACTCATTTTTTGCTTTAAGATTCCACATATAAGTGAAATCATACAGTATTTGTCTTTCTTTGTATGACATCTTACTTAGCATAATACCCTGTGGGTGCATCAATGTCACAAATGCCAAGATTTCATTTTTTATTGCTGAGTAATATTCCAGTATGTGTATGTATACCCATATCTCACATCTTTATCCACTCATCTACTGATGGACACAGGTTGCTTCCATATCCTGGCTATTGTAAATAACGTTGCAATGAACATAGGTCATACATATCTTTTTGGATCAGTGTTTTTGTTTTCTTTGCATACTCAGAAGTGCAATTGCTGGGTTTATTGGCAGCTCTATTTTTAATGTTTTGAGGAACCTCCATACTGATTCCCATAGTGTTTGTACCAACGTTCAATCCCACCAACAGTGCAGGAGGGTTCCCTTTCTTCCACATCCTCGCCAACACTTACTGGTTGACTTTTCTGATGATAGCAATTCTGACAGGTGTGAGGTGGCACGTTCTCTTTCTTGATGTCTCCAGCCTGTGAAGTTGTTTTGTGAACCCAGTGAACCTGACTGTAAATGAAACACTAACGAAATGCTGGGGGATGGTTATTTCCCTTATGTATTTTAGCATCCTCCAGGCAGAACTAATAAATATTCAACAAGTGATTAGTTAGCACATCCCCCGTGCGTCCTTTGCATATGTATACACGCTACCCTTTCACAAGGAGTTTTACTTGGTAATTTACAAATGTACTGCCTGCACCTGCCAAAATTGAAGTAATTAGCTTAGATGCAAACGATTTCTGAATTAAAGTTCTGGACTTGTAAAATCAAGAAAGCCTGATGATCCACATCATAACTGTGGCAGGCAACAAGTAAGGGGATAAATAACTAAAGACAAGTCCTTTTTAACTAAACTATGTGCAAATCAGAGGTCCATAACAAGGCGTAGCTGAAATATAGGACAATCGGAGGAAGGTGAAAGAGTCAATATTCAATGATTTCTTTATTTTTAAATCAAATTTATTGGTGTGACATTGGTTAATAAGATTATATGAGTTTCTGGTGTACAATTCTATGATACATGATTTGTATATTGCATTGTGTGCCCACCACCCAAAGTCAGATCATCTTCTGTCACCATACATTTGGCCCCTTTTACCCTTTACTACCCAACCTCGTTCCCTCTGGCAACCACCATACTGTTGTCTGTGTATTTCAATTTTACATCCCACATGTGAGCGAAATTTAAAATCCCTCCCTTTTCTCCTGCCCTCCATGTATAAACAGTGTGAAGGACTGGGGGGTTGGGCATTTTAGGGTATACAGAGTTGGAGCGGTTTAGCCAGGTGAAACCTCAGAGGGATAGAAGCTGATAAAACCTGGGAGAGCGGGCAGGGGCAGCTGGGGTGAGTGAGAAGCGGGAGCTGGTCGGACCAGGCGGCGGGAGGTGGAGGCAGCGTGGAGCCCCGTCCCGGGACCCGGGGCTCCTCTCGGCCCTGCACCGGCGGCGCAGACCTCCCACCGGGGGGAGAAAAGAGTAGCGAGGAGGACCGAGGGGCTGGAGGGAGCGAGCGGGAGTGGGAGGAGGAAAATGGGGGAAGAGCGGACAAAGCTAGAGGAGCGGAAGCAGAGGAGGGAAGAGAGGCGGGAGGAGGAAAGGAGAGAAAAAGAAAAAGGCGTTGGAGGAAAACGGGTCCGCCCCGCCCAGCGTCCGCCTCCGCTCCCAAATTCGGCCTGGCTCTCCCCAGGCCGCCGCCGCCGCCGCCTCCGGTTTCTGGACTGCTCCGAAAGCGCCTAGACTCCAACTCCTCCAGAAGGCGCGTCCTCGCAGCGCCGCTCCGCCTTGCGCGCTCCCGCCCGCGCGCCCCCGCGGCTCCGGCACTCCGGGCATGCGCGGTGGGCGGCGCCGCTCCGGGCCGCCTCTGCCGCCGAGAGTAGGAAGCGCGAGCGCGGGTCGCCGGGCTGTCAGTGAGCGTGGTGCCAGCCAGCGAGTGTGCGGCTCCGGCTCCTGCTCTCGCTCCGCTCCGGCCCGACTGTCCCGGCTGCCGCCGCCCCTCCTCGCAGCGCTCCCTGCCACCAGCCCGCGCCCCACGCCCGGGGTCGCCCGCTGCCCCGCTGATCCGCCCCCGCCCACCCGGCCCTCCCCGGCTGCTGCTCCCCGGCGGAGGCAAGAGGTGGTTGGGGGGGACCATGGCTGACGTTTTCCCGGCCAACGACTCCACGGCGCCTCAGGACGTGGCCAACCGCTTCGCCCGCAAAGGGGCGCTGAGACAGAAGAACGTGCACGAGGTGAAGGACCACAAATTCATCGCCCGCTTCTTCAAGCAGCCCACCTTCTGCAGCCACTGCACCGACTTCATCTGGTAGGTGCGCTCGGGGCACGGCGCGTGGACCGCCGCTCGGGACCCCGCTCGCGGCGCCCCCGGGTGGGGCCAGCCCCTGGTCCGGGGCCCTTTCGCCCCGGGGACCCTCGCTCGCTCACCCAGCCCCGGTTGCAGGCGTGTCCACTCCAGGGCTGACTCACTCAGGGAACTTGGAGAACCGGCGGGAGTCCAAACTCTTGCTCGGAGTGACACGCGCGCGCCCGACCGCCCGGGCCACTGCCACACACGCGGGCAGGACTCTTAGGGAAGTCATCGCCGGGTCACACACACCCCTGCCGCGCGGGGCTGGCCGCTGGCCGCGCGCGGGAGTGACATTGATCCCCTCTACGCGTCTCGCCGCCCGGCTTTCCCAGGCGCGCCCGCCTTCCGTGCAAACAGCGAAGCAGCCGTTTGCCGGGAGTGAGCGAAGGGTGAAGTGGAAAGGAGAATCCAGAGGGCAGAGTTTCCCGGGAACACACCCGGGAGTAACCGGGGCGGCCGGCGACTGCGCCGCTGGGTCCAAGGTGTTAGCGAGCCAGGCTGGGCGCGTTTGAGGGGTGTGTATTGTATGTTTCCCAGCGGGCGTGGGCTCCACTGGAACCTTGGGTTCCTGCCTACTGTAGCTTGTATCTACTGGGCACGGAAAGGCTTGGACTTTTCTGGGTGAGCCCAAAGAGAAGAGAGGCAATAAACTGTTGAAAGCTTGCAGCGCGGCGGCGGGGGGCGGGGGCAGAATAAAACAGCAGGCAAATGGCAGAAGGACAGAGCGAGTCATTTAAAATAGACCCTGTCAACACGAGATTAGATCTGTAACCCTGTGGACGAGGACAGAGGCCTTATTTAAGGAAAAATACTGTAGGGGCTAAAGGTGTCAGAGTTCAGGTAATTTCCAATGAACTCAGCTATTCTTAATTTGGGGACCTTGGGGTGTCTGGGAGGAATTGATAAATGGAGGGGTTCAGGGACTTCTGAACCCTGTAAAATTAGGTGAAATTGCACGTGCTTTTAAAATGTTTTTCTTTTTTATGGAATTTATTGGTTAATAAAATTACATAGGTTTCAGGTGTACAGCGCTGTAACACATCACCTGTATATTGTGTTTATCACTCCATCACCATTTATCCTTCCTATACCTTCTCCCATCTCGCCCCCCCGTTTGTGCTTTTTGTTGGTGAGATAATTATAGCTTTATTAGTTGATTCTGGAAAGATCCGTGACACCCCTGCCCCCAAGTCCCTAAAATTTAGAAAGCTGGAACTCCAGGGGATGCAGTTTGAGGAGCTGTAGTTGCTTCCCCCAACCCCCAGGTGGCCAGATACCCTGCCTTTTCTTACCTTTTGTGCCTGCACACCTTCCCAAGGCCCCGAAGTCCGAGCTATGGCTAGGGTTCCTGAGCTCTCCCCTCACAGAGATGGATGGAGAGCTGCACCAGTGTGACAGTGCCACAGAGTGCACCCTGCCACCAGCTGGCTGTGTGTCACGCTTATCTTGTTGGGGCCCTAGGGAGAAGTATGGGTGGCTCTGTGTGAATCCATCTCCCTGCTGGGGAAAAACACCTCAAAGGGGGAAATCCCACAAACGTGGTGCTAACCGCGGTTAATTTTTCTCTTATGAGTGGCTTTATTTGAATCCATCACACCTGGGGAGTATTACCTCTAAGGGAGAGTCCCCACAAATGTGGTGCTAATAAGGTGCTTAGTTTTTATATGGACAGCTTTATTTGCATCTATCACACCTGGAGAACATCTCTAAGGGAGAGTCCCACACACTTGGTGCTAAGGTGCTTCATTTTTCCTTTCCTTTTTAGAAATCTGCTCAAAACTACACTTACGAAAGGCACATCTATCTCTATGAACGATTTCCATTGTATAGTCAGCCTAAGAAGCTATTGAGCTCAAAGGACTAGGAAATTGTAGATAAGGCCATTTAAAGTAAGTTTTTGGAGCACCAAGGAAAAGATTGCCTTTAGTTAAGGGGAGGTCTTCAGCCTCCCCTGTCAAATGTGAAATCCTGTGAAAGGGGAGAGGCAGACTGCTGATGACTCCTGCAGGAAGTAGGTAAGTTAGAAAAGGGACTGCAGCACGCATATGCAGGGTAGCAAATGTCTTTCCACTATCAGTTGCCCTGAAGGATTAGCCCCTGGTGGACCGATGTGGGCCGTCTGGTCACCAGGTATAAGGTGAAGTGGAAAATAAAGGTTGCCCTATCTTCTCTTCCCTGAGTAACCCCTGTAACGTTTCTCCACTTAACTGTAAAGCAGCCACTCAGAAGTTCCTGGAAAATATCCACCAGATTCGTCTAGCAGTGGTTTTAATTTCTCAGTGTGCTTTCATCATCGTTTCTCTGGGCCCTTGACTTGAGTTTTATTTAAATATAAAAGCACTGATAATTTATGTGTTTGGGTTTTAAGTATGGTTTTTGGGGGGTGGGGGTGTACACATGACTAAGTTAATGATAAAATGTGTGAAGTGCTTTGTAAATGTAGAAAGGTACATAAAGCAAGACATTATGACTAATCTGAAAAAATTAAGGCAATTCATCCTAGTTAGGACAGTGTTGGCAATTTAATACCCGTGTCAAGCTTCTCCACTTAGAGAGTAAATTCTCTAAAGTAACTTTCGAGAACAAAATAACCTCAGTATGTTTCAAATGCTGTTGGTACACAGTAAAAATTAGATCATAATCTCAAATACAAAAATAGGAATACTTTATAAAATCTGGCTCCTTTAAGCCAAAATTTAATATTAAGAGTGGTGCTGTTTGGCAAGTTGTAGACAAATATTTTAAACAAATTTGTTACAAGCGAGGAAGCCACTTTTTAACTGTCTTTAGGGAGAAAAAGTAATTTTCAGTTGGTCTTTAGGGACCAAATTAAGCCACTTAGGGTTTTTTCCCCCCATGAAGTCCTTTATGTTATTTGAATATTGTGGCCAACAAGTTTGAATGTACAATTATATTCTTGCCTTGAAATTTAAGTATTGGTAACAGTATAAAACTTTGGGAAGAAGTATCCATCCGGGTACATGGAAATAGCTCCGGGAGCCCTTGGAGGCCAGGCAGGCTTTCCCGAGTTGGATTCGTACAGTCCTCCGAGCTATTCAGACGTGTTTTTCCTATCGAATCGCTGGGTTTTTCGTACATACCTTTAACTCTGTAAAATGCTTTGTCACATAACTGGCTTAAAATATGGCATCCCACACAAAATATGTTAAGATACTTTGTTCTTATTTCTGTTTTTCAGGGGGTTTGGGAAACAAGGCTTCCAGTGCCAAGGTAAGCTGCCACGTTCGATTTTTACTTTCCAGTACAATATGAAGTCAGCATTTCACACAGGAACTGTATTTCCAGCCCTCTCTTCTTTGTCATCCAAAAAAGTTATTTATATATTTTCAAAATATGAGGGCTGTAAGTTAAATTTGGGCCTTAAAAAAAAATCATGCGGTATTGCCTAGTAATCTACATATAGAGCTGCCTTTTTCCTCATTGAAAAAAAAAATCTTCCTGTAATTTTATCTTTTGCCAAGAACATTCTTGTCAGAAACTGCTGTCTTTGTGTGGGTGTTCAGAAAAAAAATGGAATCACTTTACCGTCGTGTGGCTTTTCTTGTTCTTCCTCCCTTTTTTGTTCATCTCTTGCCCATGTGTTAAGTTGGACTCCTAATTTTAGGCCACACGTTAATTATACTGTAAGTTGTTTATTTGATTAGTGATTGTCATCCAGAACAAAGTTCACGCGTTTTAAAGTTGTGTAGCTCATTTGATGATGACTCTTTGCTGCAGTAGGAGGCACATTTTTTTTCTTCAGCTTAAATATGTGACAACATATGATACTACCCATTTCATCCGGAAAGAAATCAATTAGTCTCTTCCTCTGATTTGTAGTTGCATTTTACAGATGTCACCTATATAACTTTTTATGCTCTCCATTTCATAAGTCAAATATATAACATTTTGTACTTCCATTCTATTTAAAAATTTTTAAAGCATTTTCTAGTTTGTGAAGGCATCCCAGGTTTATTAGCCTACCTTCTGGCTCTCCTGTTCACTGTCTATATTATGTTTATTTAGTTCTGGTTACATGTCCCATCTGGGCATAGGTTTATTAATAGGGCAAGTGGAAAGTACATCCTAGCCTGGAAAATATCCTAACACTGTTTAATAATAAGTGCATGAGAGGGGGAGAGAGACACTGTGTGTGCTTATTGTACCTTTGCAGTTATGCTAGTAAGTTGATTGCCTTTAAAATTTTCTGCAAATTTGTGAACCTGTTTTTTACATACAGGGTAGGGCAAAAGTAGGTTTACAGTTGTGAGTATGCAAACCAGTTTTCTTACTTATTGCATTTTCCATATGAATAATTATAAACCTACTTTTTGTCCCACCCTGTACATTTTCTAAATGTTTTAGATGCAGCTATTTTATGGTATAATTAATACTTTACCTTTCTTTACAATGTTGCTTAAAACCCCCATTGAATAAATCATTTTGAGAGTTACATGGGTTGGGGCAGAATCAAGGAATATTCCTTTAAAAAAAAGAATAAAGTGAAAGGTGTGTCGCACCAGTATCTTTATAAAAGATGGAGGTGTAACTCCTCCCACTTCTGAAAGCTGTAGACCTCAACTATGTAGGCAACCTTTGGGTCTGTGCCTGAACATGACCTTAGGTTGTTTACGGATGTAAATTGTGACTCTGGGCCTATGTGGTTAATGTGTTTGTTGGAGACCTATGGAAAATTATATGAAAAAGTTTTTACTAAATTTTCTAAATAATATTGAGTGCAAAGTGGTATTTTATTTTATGAACTGTGATTTCCTGCATATAAAGAACCTCAGGGTCAAGTTGGTCCCTTTCAGACCCATTCTTCCGAGCAAATTTTGTTGGTAAAATCAGAGTGGCTGCATTGTTAGACTGCAAGGGAGAACCTGAATTGTTTCTCTTCACGGAGCACCTATTGAACTTTGAGTGAATGAGCAGGTTAATAGTCGCAGCATAACTCCCTTCTACCTAAATCACACAAAATGATGGCTGCAAAAATTGTGAACACTGTAAAAATGTATACCCTCCTCCCTTTCCATCCTCAGTGATAACTTCTAAGATACCCATTTGTTGACTCAATCATACATACTTAGTGTTTTTAAAAAGAGATCACAGACTTTTCATCATCTTGCAACTTAATTTTTTTGCTCAGCAGTATGCGGTGGGTATCTTTTTATGTCAAATCATCAGTCCCACCTCCTCTCTGTAGTGGCTGCATGTGTGGCTGTGGCTATTTATTCACCCGTTTCTCTTTCGATGGATATTTGAACAGTTTATGTGCTCTTGCTAGTACAAATACTACTGTTGACAAAACCCTTGGACACCTGTATAGGTATTCCTATAATAGATACCTAGAAGAGTGTGTATACATTTAAATTTTAATGAGTACAGCTAAGTTGCTCTCCAAATAGTTTCCAATTTACATTTTCAGTATTAATCTATGAGAAATCCTCTTTTCCCTTTACTCTTACCAGTATTGGCTCATATCAGTCTTTTTCATGTTTGCTCTGGTCGATGAAAAGGTGCCTTCCCTACGCCCCCAGCCAGCTCGCCCCTTCCATCTCCTGGGCGGGGCTGAGCATGTTTTCAGGCATGTTTGAGACATCTGTATGTATTCTGTGAATTGCCTTACTTTACCTGTTATTTGAATGAATGCAGGATTTACAAATGAGACAAACTAGAGCAGTGACTAGGTACTTTATGCACTGTTCTTTCCTTTGGTGAAGATTTGAAAGTCAGACATCTTTGACAAATTCCCCTACTGCATTTACAAATTTTAATTCACAGAAACCATTTTAAGTATGTCTTTTTGTAACATGCTGTCTGCTTGTCACAATTTCAGTATGTATCATTTGTATTTAACTTTGAGTAGGCATGCTGATCACTCCATTGTATCTTATTCGTTGTAACTTAATTAATGATCTGTTAGCTCCATACAGTGGCTTTTAATTGCACAATAGTTACCCAGTGTTTCCTATTTTGCTTCTCTGCTTGAAATTAATTTTTATCACATCTGACCATTTCAGAATGTTTTCTCAGTGTTCTCTAACTGTAAGCATTTCCTCTTGGTTCTGTTTGATAGTCTCATTCTTATTCAGGGGAAAAACTCATTCTCATCCGTGCCTTGGGCGACACACCCTCTAGAGACTGGGGTGGCTGGAGGCAGAGACTGCTTTTTGCCTTCAGTACCCATCAGCGTGTTCTCACCTGATGGAGGCAGCATCTTCTAGCTCTCAGTATGTTCTGCTGCCTTGTTCAGTAGGCACACTGTCTGTCGGTGTATATGTGCCAAGGGAGTCACACATTCATGCAGTGAGGTAGCTTTCAAACAAAAGTATTTGCCATCATTGCACCTAGCAAATGTCTAGTGAGAATTGGAAAACTAAAATGAGTGAGTTTGGGTCCTTAAAATTGGGTTTGTAATGTATGCCATTTAGAAAGCATTATGTTTTACAAACGTACAAAAAGCATGTAAGTTTATTTCCCATGTCTTCTCCAAGATACAACATAAATGGAAGCAGGAAACTTTACTGAAGAGGGATTGATGGGCTTGAAAACATATTACTAGGGCAGGGAACACAGGAGGATCCCATTGTGAGAATTTGCTGTCTGAAATAGTGAAACCAAGGGCCGTAAACGTGGGGGAGAAGAAAGAAGGGTTCAGGCTAGATCTAGAAGCCATGAAACATTTTCCTTAAGGTTTTTAGAGATGAAGACAAGCTTTCCCTTCGTAGATCTGAAATAAGCCTTGAAATGACATGACTCGAATTTGCCTTTTGATTTTTCTCTGACACAGTGTGGTTGCTTGGCTTGATCTGCCCCATGCTTATTTCATCTCTGTGAGGCTAGCTGTCCTGGCCCCTCTATTTTTCGGAGAAAGGAACGTGGGCTTGTCTGGCTTGGTCATCGATGAACTTGAGATTCAAACCAGGAAGGTCTGCCTCCAGTCGGGGGTTTCCACCCTGTACTGACTGCTTCCGAAGGCAGTGGTCCCAGGTCACAGGGCAGGAGGGTGCACTGAGCTGTTCCAAGGTTCTCTTCCTCTGGGGGCAGTGGAAGCCCCAACAGTCTGATCTGCTACTTTCACTATTGGAAAAGGGGGTGAGCCAGCTCACTTTTTTCCTCCTCAGCAGCAGCTGCAGCAGCAGCAGGACCCGCGTGCTTCTCCAGTTACAGTGATAGAAGCAGCCTCTCCAAGGGTGACCTGCTTAGTGGATGTGCCAAACTGGCACCCCCGGTCTGTTACCTCTGGTTCACCTCGGCTTGTTTTTCCTGCCTTTTCTGTTCTTTCTCTTTTGTTTAATGGTCACAAATGAAAATTACTGCTAACCGAGGCTCTTTGATTAGGATACCCTAAAAAGAGAGCATCAGGATTAATCCCTGCCAATGACCTTGAACAGCAGGGGACTGCCAGCTCTGAAGAGGGACACTGGGATGTTTGAGGGGGTCTGCCTGTGGGGAGTATTAATTTACACTTGTGTGCTTTCAGCCTGCTGCTGGGAAGCACTTCTGAATCTTGATCCCTTTCCCTGCTATGAACATACCAACTATTGTACTTACCCTGTGCCTCTCACTAACACTCTGTTTTTCAGTATTTAAGGGGTAAGAATCAGCTTCCCTTCCCCTCTGCTGATGACATTCCATGTCAAAGGCCGGCTTTGGGCTAGATATTTACATCAGCTCTGCTGAACAGGGTGGTATTTTATATTCCTTCTGTAAGAGTGAGATTTGATGTTTCAGGGAAGAAAAAAGAATGAGTCTCCCTTGGCTGCACAAGCTGAGGAATTCCAGAAAACCAGGCCAATTTAAGGGAGGGTGACCTTTAACAGAGTGGGGATTTAGTTGGCAGCTTTTCAGAAAAGGATGTCTAGTTATTCTCATCAGTCTGCAGGGCCTGGGAGCCAAGTGCGGACACCAGGTGTCAGAAGATAGAAGGGGGATGAGGATGGAGTTGGGCAGAATGTGAGGAATTCGTGCTTCCTAGGGATGGGGTTGGCCACCCGTAAACTTTGGTAGGCAACTGATTTTCAAAGTTGATGCCAGGACTTTTGTTTTTCTTTTTCATTTAGAGTTAACATTCAGTGTTTTTGTATTTGTTTCAGGTGTACAGCACAGTGGTTACACACTGATGTAATTTACAAAGTGATAACCTGATAAGTCTGGTACCTACCTGATGCCAGGATTTTCCATCCTTCAATTTCAAAACTGGGGTCAGCCTCTCGGCACCCCCTTTT